CTTATTTCACAAACAACGGCGCAACTACATATTATTAAGGTGGATGCAAAAACATTAATTGGCGCCCCCCCCCCCCTAAGGAATGTACGTAAGGGTGAAGGAGCGTAGAAAACATACGGTCGCTCTATCTGTATGAGCAACCGTATGTTTCATGGAAACACAGCAGTTTCTGCATCTTCAACAAAACAAAAAAAAGATGCATAAAAATAAAAATTAAAACTGGAACCTGCAGGTAGGGCTGAGCAACAAATCAATTGTATCGATTATTCAAACTTTCTCATTTTGAAGATTTCATTTTTTGGAAAATCTGGATTTTTCTTCCCCCACAAACACACTCCCAAACAAAAAAAAAAAAAATCTAATTCGATATATTTAATTTTTAAGCTATGTCGCTCAGCACTACCTCCAGGTTCACATGACCTGAGAGATGCAAACCTGATTTATTAAAGTCAACCAAACAACTATAATTCTGTTCATATCTTAACCACATCTGGAGTCTGGACACGAAACTAATAAACAAAACCTGATCTGCATTCCCGCCAACCTTCCAGTTATACCAGTTTGTTGGTGCACAAAGCTACTCAAAGAAAAATAGAGGTCATTATGCCGAACACACAACCGGTGCTAGTTAAAGTTTACGTTGCGCTGACCTGACAGGCGTCCCCATTCACACAGAGCGGCAGCCACACGGGCCAGAAAAGTGAAAGCACTTAAATATGTAAACAACACGGTGTTTGTTTGTGTGAGAGGAGGAAGCACAACTGGGCGCACTGGAGAAACTGCCTCAAGTGCACACAAGAGCCATTGTGATTAGTGATACTTACATACAAAGGAGCTTGCTGTGGATTGAGTTTCATGTCCCTGGACACTGAAAAGAGAAGAACAAATTACGGGTTAGCGGTTGTGGGATGCTCGTTATTGTCTCTGCATTCTGCTTCAAAAACAATGGAGATTCTTCAGAAGGGCACAAAAATAGGTTGTAGACACGACATGATCATTTTAGCACCTTGGAAATCTTGTTGACGTAAACATTCGGACAAAGAAAGCCTTCTCTCTGATTAATCTATGCTAAGTTTTAGCTCCACGTCAATGGAACTGCAAACGGCAAGAAAGGCTTCGCGGCGAAGCTCTTAGAAAATGTATCCCATAAATTCAATGCCTTGATTTGTTTCACTCACTGAGACATCAGTCACCTTTACAGTTTCCTTCCTGCTATTCAGACAAGCTTTTGAAAGTGGCCTCATGAATGCTGAAGAACGCACAGCTTTCACATCAGACAAACTGATTTCAAAGGAAGAAGTTTAATGTAAACATACTTATCTCACCATTACTCATTCTCATCCTACAAGTTCAGCTTTGAGAGAACAAGAAAATCACTTTGCAATCAGTGAATGAACCATAGTTAATTCCCAGCATGTCCCCATGACAACGCTTCGTCGTCGATGATGAGTCACTGCAACTCGAGTTCAATGTTTTTTTTTTTGGGGGGGTGGGGAGGGGGTTGCCATCAGCGAGTCATCAAGAGAGGAAACACAGATGTAGGAAGTTATTTGAAGGGGTTTTTCTTTTCAGACCGAAAGGGAGAAGATTTTCAGCAGATAACAGGGAAGCTGCATGCAGTGCAGCAGAGACGCTCCTACTTTATCCCACACTCACTAGAATACACACACAAACACACACAGACACACACACACACACACAGAGAGAGTGCTGTTTATAGTTCGAAAAGTTGGTCGTAAACTGTAGCTGCTTGAAACTAATGGCACGAAAAAAATTTATTTATCTTTGTGAGTTACAGCTCCATCTACAATCTATCAGCCACAAAATTCAATTTCCTGACACTTTCTAGTTGTTTATTGTGCTCAGAGTATGCTAGGTTAAGTCCTCAGTAGGTACAACAATTGGTTACCATGGAGACTGAATGCGGGTTGGAAAAGAGACATTGTTGACAAAAAAGTCTTTGCCAAGTGACAGGTGGCGCTTTCCTGTCAAGTGTTGTTTGATCTTCTAGCGTCTGAAGGAAAACTTATCCAGACAAGTGAAACCAGTTTTGTCTTTGTGTAATTTCTATAAACAGGAAATGGAAAATGAGTTGAGTTGATCATTTTATAACACACAATAAGTGTCTAAATCAAGGCTTGTAGTTCAAAATCTACAAAAATGTTATATCTTTGGAACTGCTGTTGCTAGATTAGTTTAGGGCTTCTAATCAACAGAAAAATCTTAATAAATTGATTTTAGATAAAGACACCTTTGTCCATGCAAGTAAAAAGAAAAACAAATAAAATAAATAAATAATTACAAAAAGGGATTTTTTTTATCCTACAGTGAAATTCAAAAACCCAGCATCCAAGAATCTACAAAGTAGTTTAAGAACTGTCGTCCTAACCAGAGATGATCAACTTTGTATCATTTGCATCAAATATTGTCAGCTGCAGAGAACGCCGCGTTTTTAATGTGATGTGACGCCACCCATAATTCAGCAGATGGCTCTGCTAATCCCAGTTTTATCAGATCGCACACCCACACTCCAGTAACTTCTCGTCTCACAACGTCAAGGTATCAGACGAAGCCCACGTATTTCGGACGAATTAAAATTCATCTGAAATGCCGTGACAACAACTAATGTCTGACGTCGAATGAGCAAAATACGCAGGAGCAAAAGCAGATGTGAGATTAATGCAAGAGAACAATTATCTGTCAGGGAGTGACAGAGGTAAAGGCAGATCAAATTGATAAAACCCAGGTGGCTATGATATGCTGCAGTGGTACAGCACATTTTGTTACAAGTTTAGTGGAAGAACCTTCAATCAAACTTTATAATTACAGCCAAATGTGGAGCAGAATGCGTCACAGGTTTAAAAACAGAGATTGAGACCAGAAACACACACACAACTACTTAACTAATGGAAGAAAACACATGCTATGTAAAGCTGAAAAAATGTATCAGAACAATACAATTACTATAGTAAACTATGCATGGCAACTAATGATTATTTTACTAATCATTTATTATATCAATTATTACCATTTAAGCCTTTTTATACAATATTAGAAAAACAACAAAATATGGAAATGAAGGATTCAAAGTCTCCAGGAACTTTAGTATCAAACCAGCTACGAAATCTGGACTCAGGTCCCAATTTAAGAAGCGTGATAAATAAAGTAAGAAAATGAACATTTTATTGCTTAAAATATAATAACAGCATTCCTTTAGTGAACACCTGATCATGTGTAGCAAAAGGCGCATCTTCTGCTGTTCTTTTTTTTTTTTTGTAATCAACCAGTTAATAAATGGCTAGCAAACGATGATTAACAGGACAATTTTTTAAACGGCTTAATTCCTGCTCTGTGTACGTTGTTCTTTCAACAAATGTAAACTCCAGTTAGCGATTAATCAATTGCTAAATTAGTTGATGAATATTTGAATAACGGATTCACTACAATTAATCCGGTTAATCGTTTCAGCCTTTTAGTAAATATCTAGAAATTAAGGTATTTGGAAGAAAATTTATAACTACTGTTATAGCAATAATAATAAATAGGAAGTATAAAACTTGCTTTAAGTAGGTAAGCACATTGTCAACATCGGTATCGGGCAATTTTATAACATATCAGTATGGGTCCAATAAGTGAAACTTGGGCCGATGTTCATTTCCATCTTGTTGCCGTTTGCGTTTCAGGAGGGCGTTGGCCATGTGGCATTTATTTGGCCTTGTGACAGCGATGCAGCGCGTGATTATGGGGGTGTTTCACTGAAGCAATATCAGCAGTGTAGTGACATTGCAGAAAAAATATAGTATTGGTAAACACACGGGAAATGAATAAACAGGAATATTAATAGACCTTACTTTAAATAAACAGTAATATTGAGAACGTGCAGAAAGAACAGTGGCATGAACAGTCCTGGAAATCCCCCACTCTCATCACAGGGGTCAATAGAGCAAAACTCGCTCGCCCACACTCTCTCACACCCTTCCAACCAAGCTGCCAGTTCCCTACCTGTGTTGGTTTGTTTGTTTGGACAAACCTGCCTCTTCCAATCGCCAACTGGTTTATCAGCAAGCAAACAGAATCGGGATAGCAAAGCAACAAAAACACTAGTTTGCCTCTTCTAGAAGGGTTTATGTCGTCCCGGGATCACTTGGCAGGATTACACGGAACATGTTTGATTCCTGTACTCCCGAGTCTAGAAAAGCGAGGCCCTAAAGCCGGCTTCTGGACACAAGGTCAGAGGTGTGTAATTGCCTTAAAAAACAAAAGGTGTAACAGCTATATACTTGGAAGACAAATGGGTTGGAAACCTTTCTGCTGAACCCTCCCGAACAGAGCTTGGCTCGAGCTCGCGTTCGCCGAAGAGTCAAGGATCTGTTCAGCTCTGAGCCCCCGTGTTCTCCTCTGTTATTTGCGGAGACAATTTTCTTTTGTTTGCCGTTCCCTGGCACTAAAACAAGTCCTTGCTTCTGGCCCCGGTGGTTAGCGGTGCATTAATCACATCAACCACACAGCGGGGGAGGCGGCGACAAAAGGCCAGGACCTAATGAGTTCAGCAGAGAGAGAGCGAACGAGAGAGAGCTCCAGAGTCAACAGAGCACAACACAATTCACTTTCTGCAGCCCAGTCCAAACATTTTTCCAATTTTCTGCTAAATGTACAGGCCTGAGCTCGAATTAGGCGGATCAGGTAAGGGGATAATCAGCAGCTCTAATAATACTCTGGAGGCTAATCCTCTTGCCTTAAGTGCACTGGGCCAGGGACCAGCTCCCTCACGACACACACTGCACTCACTTATAAGACTCAAATCGTGTCCGCCGGCTCTTGGTGCTTTTTTACATTTCTATCCCCTTGTCATCTGTTGGCTCTCAAGTCCTTGTTATTTTACTTTGACGGCGTCTTCAAGGCCACAGTGTGGATCTAGCTTGCGGCACAATAGGGCAAATATTTACAAGATGCATTGCCACTTTCACAACATTCACCGGCGACGATGGAGCCGATAACATTTGTTCACCTGAGGATGGCTGCCGTGTCCTTTATCACCCCCCCCCGTCCTGTTTTACATTCTCCACATATTCGCACCAGCAGCGGCGGCAGCAGCTCAGGCTGTCGGTGTGACGGCCACTTTTTCACAGTTGTTAAGGGAGGAGAAAGATTCCTGTGACACGTGGGATTTCAGACAGGCGGGGGGGGAAATCTGCAGGAGCATCAAAAACTGTGAATCCGTCTGAGTTATTACAATATTTCCTTTTCTACTGAATGGTTTTGATGATTATCATGAGTCGGTTTCGAATTATGAGTTCCTGCAAGTAAAACTAAAAAAAGCTTCACTTTCTATTGTAGAAAAGTGCTAATTGGTTTGAATACAAGCAGAAACAATGAAAATTAAGTTTACACTACAGTTTTTTTTTTGTTTTTTTTGTTTTTTTATTTTAAAATTGCCCACTTCCTATTGAGACAAATCATTGCCTTTTTACTACCCAGACCCAAAGTGACCCACTAATTGCCATTTTTGGAGTTCCAGTCAGCACGCTAGACGCTGTATTTTAGGGTAGTTCTGCAAAAGTGGATTTTTTTTGTTGGAAAAGCGTGAGCTAGATAAGATTGGTGGATTAGATCAGTTTGACATGCAAATATCGGCAGACTGCCAATCTCCCAAACTGAAGAAAACCTGGGCTTATTTATTAGTGCATTCCTACCTCACTGTCTCACTGATTCTTTTATTTTTTTAATCATCATTATATTTTAACTAATTATCATAATTGTTTTATTTAACAGCACTTGTAACTGCTCATCTTAATTTATAGACCAAAAATGGTGGGAGATCTTAGGTTTTGTGCATGTAATTAATTAGAAAAATGTAAATGATTTTTC